GGGCCTAGAAAAGAGAGCAACAGTCTCAAAGGCCCCTTGCTGAATCACCTAACTTCAGAGAAAACAAAGCATAACTTTAGTTCCATCCTGATGCTCCAGGCCAGCTGCATCTATCTGGGACTTATCACCCCCTGCCCAACTGCAAGTGTCATCTCAACGAAAGAATACTCAAAATATCCCGCCTGATTGACGTTTCCCTTATCGCTTCCACAAACCTCCCTATAAGTATGAAGCCTCCCTGATCCCTTTTGGCGCTCAGCCTGGTCGTTAGGCCGACTATCGTCCCTCCTTGCCTGAATAAAGGTAACCTACTTCTGTTGAGGTCGTCTTTCCTTTTCTGCCTTGCCGGAACTGTACGTTACATATATCTCTTATGATACTACTTCAAGAGGCTCATATTTTCCTGTTGCCTCACTTTGGTAGATGTTTGAATGCAGTGAGTTGTGATGGTGCCAACCTCAGGAATCCATTATGAACATCCCCTTCTACATTTCACTATGGTTTCAGCATCCATCGTAGACCTTTGCCTAGAAGCACTTCATGAGAATGTTTCAAAATAGTACTTTCCTGTTTTTATCACTTCTTTGAATTTAATTCCTGAAATTCTCCAATAAAAATAAGATTCCTTTTACTGTTTGTAGTTACATGAAATGTGCTTCATAGATACAAAAACAGCTTCAATATTGATAATTTTCCTTTCTCAGTGCTCAGAATGGAGAGTTGGTGCCCTAGCAGTCTGTCACAGTGACAACTAGATGTTGTCTATTAACATTTGTACACCTTTGGCCATCTTAAAACTAAATATTAAAACTTAAAACTAAATATTAAAAAACTAAGGTCATGGGGTCTACCCCTGTTACTTCATGGCAAATAGAAGGGAAAAGGTGGAAGCAGTGACAGATTTCCTCATCTTAGCCTCTAAAAGCACTGTGGATGGTGACTGAAATCATGAAATCAGAAGACGACTGGTTCTTGCCAGGAAAGCTATGACAAACATAAACAGTGTGTTGAAAAGCAGAGACATCACTCTGCTGACAAAGGTCCATATAGTCAAGGCTATGGTTTTCCCACTGGCTACATATGGTTGTGAGAGCAGGACCATAAGGAAAGCAGAGTGTCAAAGAACTGATGACTTTGTACTGTGATGCTGAAAAAGAATCCTGAGGGTACCTTGGACAGCAAGGAGATCAAGTCAGTCAATCTTAAGCGAAATCATCCCTGAATATTCATTGGAAAGAATGATGCTGAAGTTGAATCACCAGTATTTTGGTCACCTGTGTCAAAGACTGACTCACTGGAATAGTCCCTGATGCTGGGAAATATTGATGGCAGGAGAAGAAAGAGTCAGGGGATGAGAGGGCTGGACGGCAACACCAATGCAGTGGGCATGAACTTGGGCAAACTCTAGGAGATGGTGAGGGACAGGGAAGCCTGGCGTGCTGCAGTTCATGGGGTCACAGAGAGTTGGACATGACTGGGCAACTGAACAACAACATTGCCATTTGAAATTTCTGACATTTATACATTTAATTTATTTCAATTGATTGCCATTTATGCTAAAATTGTCCCACTTCTGGCCTCTCCATATGAATTCCTAAGCTTTCTGTCCAGGCCCCACTGGTCTTTGAAGTCCCTCAACTTTCTAGTCCTTCAAGATTCCCAAGATAATTTGGTGCACTTCTTTATCCAGTCCTGAAATCACAGGTCCCATGGATTGTCTGGTGGGAAACGCATTTAGAGGCTACCTGTTAGACCTCAGGATAGTCACTGTTATCAAGTTGTCATTGTTTCTAGGCTTTACAGTGGTCAGAGCAGGAAGTAGAGATATTCCTAAAGAAATATAATCAGTTGGTACAAATTTTTGCCGGGGTCCAGCCTCAGTAGGATCCAGGGGTACCCTCAGGATGAACAGCATTGGAGAGAAAGAGAGAGAGAAAGAGAGACAGAGCAGACTCAGGGTGTGCAGCAGAGTCTGGCAAATCTTTATTTTTTACTATAGCTTTTATATTCTAAGTTAGTACATTTTTAAGGGGAAGATAGTTTTATATTACATCAGCTTGTCCTTCACAAAACCAGGGTGTTTTCTGCATACTTCTTTGTGAGAGTCTTATATATTATCTTCTGGCCTTGGGGCCTATTGACATTTTATGACGTAGGTGAATGCAAAGCTGTTTTCTGTAAACTATTCTTTGTTGAACACAAAGGTCAGTCCTTTTGCAGAAGTTATCAGTTCAATTTATCTAAAAGGTTTACCACACAAAGACTCTGCAGCTCTGGTGAGGCAGCCCCTGTTTAGCATTCCTGGTTAAAATTAACAATTCCTCTTATTTTTCTAAATCTTTAACTATAACCACTTTTAGAATAATATTTTTGTGTTCTCTACTAGGGCTTCCTCACCCCGGAAGGGCTCTGTGCCTATTAGCGCCTTTTGTGTGATCAGGTTCTTTACGTTGTTTATGATTAAGGTGTTGTGAGCAGTCATGTGCATTAGTACGCATTTGCCAAGCAGGCTAGAATGCCTGTAAAGGGGTCTAAATTGAAAAACTTCTTTCATCCTGGATAATCTTATAGGATACCACTGTCCAGGAGACATATTAACTAAAGTTCTAAGTTGATTCTGTTTGGAAAGAGATCGGGGAAGGCCTTCTAGCTGTGTCACAGAAATTAGGGAGTAGTCTAATATAGCAAGCATCAGAAAGACAGAGATCAGGTGAGCGCCAGGGCAGCTTTTCAAAATCCCTGAAGTCCTGATCTACCTTGCTAGTCAGGTCTTCTCCTCATGACCTTGTCATGGGTGGGATCTCGTGTGCTGGCTCCCAGCACTTATGATTTCAGTTCAAGATTTAAGACAGCAGGGTTTTAATTAAGCTTCTTTATGTTATGTGTGAACCTCTTTTCTCTAACCACTGAAAGTCTTACTTCAGAGCATGAGCTGTAATTACTGACTTGCTTTAACTTATAACATACATATGATACTGTCACAATAATAGAAGCAATATCAGCAACAATAAGTTGTTGAATATAGTTTCAGATTCCTTTCCTTCTTTTCTTTTGGTTTTCTTTGGTTTTGTTTTAGATTGGCAGTAGTTTTATTTGTCCTTAGAAGATATTCCACTCTGAATGTAGTCATAATTCTGAGTTTTAAAGCCACTTAAGTAAAGTTTGTTATGTGCAGCTAGTCACCAACCTGATACAATTATACTTATTAGGCTTTGTCCTCAATTTAACTGATGTGATTATCTATTTCTTGACTTGGTAACACATTTGCATCATTGGATATCAAAGTATAAAACAAGAAAAATCTCACTCCCCTGTCCCTCACCCATAAATTACATTTTAGTAGTTTTTGGCTAATTTTCCTACTCGTTCTAAATGAAAATAGACATATATGTGTATATGGAAGAAACAAACTATAAGAACCTTTTTGAACTCTCTTTTTTAAAAAACTAAATAAATAGTGCACTCTGAAGTAGTCACCCAATCCACTCCTCTTCCATCCACAATATACCCAGTTGTTGAGATGCACTGTGCCTTATTCCACATTTTCCTGTGGATGGTCACTTCTGGTACCTTGCTGATATTTTACTTTTAAGAACAATATGCAGTAGATAGTTTGTTCACACGGCTTTTTCTATTTTCACCAGTGTATCCTTTGGATACATCCCTAGATGTAGAATTGCTGAGTTAAAAGGCAAGTTCAGTTCAGTTCCTCAATCATGTCCAACTTTTCTGACCCCATGGCCTGCAGCATGCAAGGCTTCCCTGTCCATCACTAACTCACAGAGCTCACTCAAACTCATCTCCATTAATCAGTGGTTGGTGATGCCATCCAACCATCTCATCCTCTGTCATCCCCTTCTCCTCCTGCCTTCGATCTTTTCCAGCATCAAGGTATTTTCCAATGAGTCAGTTCTTCTTAACAGATGGCCACAGTATTGAAGCTTCAGCTTCAGCATCAGTCCTTCCAATGAATATTCAGAACCGGTTCCCTTTAGGATTGACTGGCTTGATCTCCATGCAGTCCAAGGGACTCTCAAGAGTCTTCTCCAACACCACAGTTCAAAGGACACATATGTATGTCATTTGTCAGATGATGTTATATTCCCTCTGCTGGGATTTAACCACCAAAACTGAGTTTAAACAATGTGCAAAAATGAGGGTTAAGACACAGTGCCCCATCTATACACACCTGGTGACCAGGAGAGGTTCCTGTTTTACCCATGACAGTCCTGAATAGGTATCATGCAAGAATAGGCCCTGGGAGTCCTGGAAGGAGTCATAAAATATGATCATCTTTACCTTGGCTGGAACAGTTTTGTCTTCTTTGGTTGGTAAGACATTTCAAAATTATTTTTTTGTATGTTTGTTTTGGCAGACAAAGTTTTTCACTGTATATACCCTACTGGGAAATTTTATCAGAAATATATCTATTTATCTTCAGCAGTTAAATTTGTCAGTTTATATGTCCCCAGTGATCTTTCTTTGTAAATAGAAAGAAAACGAACATGTTTATTTTATTTATTTATTTTTATAAAGTCAAGGAAATTTATTTCCTGAGGTCATGACAGGAAGCAGGCGCGGCGGCAGCTGCTGGCTCTCCGGGCAGGGGAGCGGGAGCTAGGACGCTGTGCGGGGTGACTCCGAACCACGGCCTTCTTAGTGTTCACGAGATGCTGAGCGCAGGGCTGGACCGGGCCGGGGCCACCAGCTTCGCCGTGAGACCTCAGGGCGGGCAGAATCGACACATACGCGGGGTCCAGCCGCTGGGTCAGAGTGAGACGGACCCTCTCGGGGCGGGTGCTGCTCCTTGGTCATTATCGCTTGGGGCCCCACAAAACTAACATGTTTAGTATGCATTCAGCCTCTTTTTAAACCACCTAACTTGAATTAAATCCCTCTCCATCCCAACTGCACTCCCACCTCTAGGCCAATAAAAAAACCTGCATGGAATGAAGGCTGAACTCCACACACCATGGTGCAGGTTACTTTCCCACTGTATTCTTCCGGGGGTGGAGGGGGGGCGAGAATTAGTTGCTAACATTAAAATCAGTAGGCTGTACATAAATATCCAACCTTCTCATTCTCTTGAAAACATGGCCAACTGGCCTGCTTTCCAGCATGGTTGAAGTGGAGGAAAGGCTGCTCCCAGTGGTCAGCCTTGTGCTGCCCAGGGTCCAGCATGGCCACTAGTCCTACTATCAGTTCTCTTGCTCCTGGGGCCATGAGTTTGTGAGAACCAGACTGCTAGCTTGCATAAGATAAACACTACTTTTGTCTTGATCAGCTTTGACTTTGAAGCCTCTAACTCAGAACCCAGCACACAGTTCTTCCTTGTACATTTGTCGGATGATATAAAATATCTTGTGGATGCATATGACATTTCTTCCAATACTGAAACCATGCAATTGAAGTACTGCTCTTCCCTAAATCTTTGATGCAGACTGACATCACAGGTGCCCCTGATCTCTGCCATTAGACCCACTACCTAAAGCCAGTTGTATGTCCCTGGGGAGTCCCTGAAGTCTTCACTTTGCCATTTGATAGCTTGTCCTCCTAGCAATCTCCTCTTCAACTGAGGACCACAAACCACACCTCATGAAGTGGCTAGGAAGACCATGTGAGATGATTAATGGTAGCATGGCCCCTAATATCCATTTTTATGGTGTTCTTAGCAGTTTTTTCTCCAAGTTGGCAAGTTTCCCCTGCTCTTAGATGTCCATGCAGATCAGTTTGGTTTTTCAGGCAAGTGACAAGGAAGAGATTACAGTATAATTCTCTGTATTCTGAGAACCTTCAAAGTCCACTCACCAAGGACACTGATGGAGGTAAGATTTTATTGAGAGCTGTGTATTTTTATCAAATCCATTTTTGGCCTAAAGAGGGCAATTATGGCAGGTCAGAGCTTATATAACTAGGAGCACCTGGTCACCACTACATGCTAAGAACCCAAACTTCCCTGAGTACTTGGAGCCAGGAAAGAAGCATGAAGTGGCTTGTGCTCCTCGGGCTGGTGGCCTTCTCAGAGTGCATAGTCAAGTAAGTATGGGGACTGTAAGCCGCATCATTTTCCTTTCTGGGATTTTTCTTTTTGTCTGATTATTCTTCCACTCATCAGGATTAGAAGGGAAAGGAATATTTCTCTGACAGTGTTAAAGTTCATTTCTTACTTATTGACAAGTACCTTGCTATAGAAACTGTGGGTCCCAGGGTCTTGGCGTAAATTTGCATGGTTGCACAACTCTTGGGGTCCAGTTATGTTGTGACCTGTTGAAAATGTAACTCCTTGGAATTGCTCAGTGCACAGCTAGTGCAGAGGTAGGTGTGGTCCTGTGGAATAGCACTTTTCTACATTTTATTCAACATGTCCTCTCTGTTCTCTTTCGGCTTCAGTGTATATGTCTATGTCTGCATCTCTGTATCTCTCTCATTTATGTCTCCATCTCTTTGGGGGCCTCTGTGAGTGCAGAACTCTCTGTGTTGTTTTCTTTCCTTTTAATTTTTCTTTTGTCTTGTCCTTCCTTCTCAAGCCTCTTAATTCCTTATTTTGTTCCCTATCTCCTGGATTCTTTTTTCAACCCTCTCTTCTATTTCAACATGGAGAAGGATAGAGCTGCTTAAACATTGTTTTACATCTGACAAGCAGTGTAACCACAGCCAACTCACAATCTTCCCGCATTTCAAATTCCTCCCCTGTGAAAAGAGGATATAGTGGGATGAGAAGGAAATAGTGGGATGAGGAGGATATAGTGGGATGAGAAGGATATAGCGGGATGGCCACAGCAATGCTAATGGTTTTCATTGTTGAGACTTCCTATTTATCAGGTACTTTTCATCCATCGGACTTCCCCGGTGACTCAGACAGTGAAGTGTCTGCCTACAATGTGGGAGACCTGGGTTCAACCCCTGGATTGGGAAGATTTCCTGGAAAAGGAAATGGCAACCCACTCCAGTATTCTTGCCTGGAAAATCCCATGGACAAAGGAGTGTGGTAGGTTACTGTCCTTGGGGTCGCAAAGAGTCGGACATGACTGAGCGACTTNGTGTCAAAGATGTGTCATTAATTTGAGGGAGATTGCTCCTTCTGAACTGAGCCACTCAGTTACAGATGAAGAGTGAACCATCTCTGGTCAAAGGATAAAGCCAACTGCAAAGCAAGTGTGAATCCCCAGGCAGAGGAGTTCAACTTCCACAGATGCAAGAACCACAGCAGCAAATGTTACTGAACCCCTAATCTGTGTAAGGCCATAAGAATCTAACACTGTGATTATTTTTATTAGATTTTTTTTAAGGACTCATTTTGTCTTCAAGAATGCCCAGGCCAGCATGAGAAATAGGTAAAGAGTAAATACATGTCAAATGAGAGGGTCAGCTGTGTGGTGTTGATTGGATATGGTCTGAGTTTAGAGGGAGCGGCTAGGGTTGATCAAGTTGGACCTCCTGGGGAAGGATGTGATCAGGCTGGATTAGAAGAGGAGACTAGAGAGCTCCTCAGATGAAGGTACTAGGACTTCCCTGGGGTCAAGTGCTTGTAGCTCTGGGCTTCCAATGCAGGAGGTATTGCTTCAAAGCCTGATCATAGGGCTAATATCCTGTATGCCACATAGCACAGATAAAAAACAAATGCAGGCACCTCTGTGACAAAGGCTGTGAGCTTCACAGTGGTTGGAAAGTGATCTCTCAGGAGACTTGTGACACCCAGAGGGAGGAAGCAGTTTGGCAATCAAAGGGAGCCAAGTCTGCACTAACCAACCCCCTTTTGGTCCCCATAGCTGTCCTGTGTGGGTAACATCACCATTGGAACACCCACTGAGGAGTTTCAGGTTATCTTTGATACAGGCTCATCTGACTTGTGGGTACCCTCCATCTTTTGCAACAGTCCATCATGTTGTGAGCACAAGAGCCTCCCAATCCATCCATCTTTTACTTCCCTGACACCCCTTACTCCACCCTTGGCACCTGTATGACCCTCATTTCTCATGTCTGCAGATACATGCAATGCCTTCAAATATTACGAGTCTTCCACCTATCGGGATATGAACACGCCCTTCAACATCATCTATGGAACTGGGATAATGAAGGGATTTCTTGCTTATGACTCCATTTGGATAATGTGGAAACAGAAACTAAGTCAGGACTGACTACAGAGTGACTGCTGCTTACAAAACAGTTGCAGGACCAGCTGGCAGAACCCATCCTTTTCTAACTCCCATAGATATTGGCCATATTACCCACAGGATCCTGTCCCTGGGGAGACAGCGCCTGTGGTGACACACAAATTCCCAGCTTAGCTAACCCAGAGAGTGCCTTGGGGTGTGGATTTGCAGCTCCCCTGCTCATGAGCAGCTCAAGGTGCATTTTTATGGGAGCAAGAAGAGGGGAAAATAGCACCCGTTTTTATATTCTCTGACTGTTCCAGGCACTTTCATGGTAATAACTTGTTTAATCCTGCAACAACCCCACACAGCAGGTACTCTGATAAACTCGTGATACAGATGAGGAGACTGAGGTGTAGACAGCAAGGGCCTTGCTGAGGTCACATATGAGGTAAGCGGTGGAGCTGGACTGGCTTGTCAGGACTGAAGCTGGTGTAAGATGTTTGGGGACAGGATAAAACTAATATGGGGACCCTGGGGGTAGTCAAGCACTTTAGATATCCAGGTTTGGAAAGAAGGAAGCCAGAGATATTGTGGGGCCTAATAAATGGTTTCTCACTCCAGGGGCCTTTTGGAGTCTAATAAAACCTTCGGCCTGCCTCCCCCAAATTACCTCAGTAGTTCCCCTCCCTGTTTTATTCTCTCTCTCCCATACACACTCACACAAAGACACACACATCCCCAAAGTGTATTTCCCAGGAGGTTATTTCATAAGAACCCTGCCAGCAACATTGTGTAACTGGCATCTGCCATCCTGGGCAGATGCAGAATCCAAAATACATTGCAATCAATTCAATCCATTTCTGTCATCAGTCATAGTGACGCCAGTAGAAGGCTCTCCTGCTCTCTACTCTTTTTGTCCTGAAGGGGGCACCATTGGGTCCTAACCTGAGTCTCTTGGTTGCCTCACCTGGACAGAAGGCTTGAGGCCAATTTGACAGAGGAGCAGATGTTTTAAAATCCACAGCCCACACAAATAGAACCCAACTTTCCCATCATGATCTAACCATCTGAGGTCTCCATCGAAGACACAGCTTAGCCTCAGTTCTTCTCTGAGGATCTAATGGCAATGCACCCCAGCCTAGTCCCAGCCCCACTTCCTAAATCTTTATGTGGGAATACTCTCTTCTCCACAGATTGGGGACCTTGTTAGCACTGACCAGCCATTTGGCCTAAGCTTGGAGCTAAACAAGTTTGATAATACACCCTTTGATGGCCACCTGAGCTTGGACTACCCCGACATGTCCATCATAGGAACCATCCCCATCTTTGACAACCTGAAAAAACAAGGTGCCATTTCTGAGCCTGTCTTTGCCTTCTACTTGAGCAAGTAAGTCTGAGCTGGACAAGCCCTCTCACCAAATTAAGAAGCTTTCCGTTGCACGAAAATTATAGAACACTTGATACAGAAGTATCCTGAGACATTAAACTAACCCAGGATAACTATGGCCCCAGGGCCTCACCTGGCTTCACCACTGGCTTTTACAAATAAAGTTTTATTGGAACACAACCATGCTCCTGGGCTCAAGGGAGGCGGCTTTGTCTAGGGGTGAGGAAAGGGGAAGACCAATGGAATGTGTCAGGATACAAGTTGGAGGAAAAACCAACAGGATTTGCTGGTGGATTTGATATGGAAGGAAGGAGAGGGATGGCAGAAATCTTTCCTTCCTCACTATCAGTTCACTGGGAACCAAATACTGGCTACCCAACTTTCCGGAGCCAGTGAAAAATGAAAGTGTGGGAGCCCTTGTTCAACAAATATTGGGAATTTCAAGACAGGGATAGCAGAGGTGGGGACCCTGACTGTGGGGCCCTATGGATAGCACAGGTCACAGGCCAGTGAAGCCAACCCTGGGTGACCAGAAGCCACACTCTTAGTGCTTTCAGTCCTTGATTTTTCTGAAAAATGACAAGTTGGGCAAGGGGAAGGCCAAAACCCTTCAACACACTGTCCTCTGAGGGTATATCTGAGCACTCAGCTCTCAAGAGGTCCAGGGTCTCTTCAGAAGCCTAGGTGGATGGAACCTGGCCAGATGACTCAGCTTCTAACCTCTGTGCCACTCATTAGCCAGTTACCAGCCTCAACCTGGTTCTCAATCCCTCCTAGGCTCAATCTCTGCATCTGTAAATAGGGAGCTCATTAGGGCCTTGATGGGTGGACAAGCACAGCCCTGATAGTACTATTGTTACTGTTCCCCCAAAATCCCCTTCTCTCTTCTCTCTACAGATGCAGGGGGAAGGGCAGTGTGGAGATGTTTGGTGGTGTGGACAAAGGCTACTACCAGAGAGAGCTCAACTGGATACCATTGACCCAAGCAGGTGACTGGTGTGTAAACATGGACCAGTAAGCCTCTCCCTTTGAGGGTCACCTCAAGCGATGCTCCCACATCTGTACAATGACACAGATAGACACACAAATGCACTCGCAGACATACAGTCAACGGACATATATACCACCCACAACAACACATACAGACACAGTCAGGCAGTTCAGTCGCTCAGTCATGTCCAACTCTTTGCAACCCCATGAACCGCAGCATGCCAGGCCTCTCTGTCCATCACCAACTCCTGGAGTCCACCCAAACCCATGTCCATTGAGTCAGTGATGCATCCAACCATCCCATCCTCCGTTGCCCCCTTTTCCTCCTGCCCTCAGACACAAGACACATACAAATACACAAGCAGGCACATATCAACACATAGGCTGACACATAAACACACACACAGGGATAGATAAACATGCATAGCCAGTCAGAGACACACAAGCACACACACAGAGCCACAAAGGAATATACACACAAATAAACACACAAACACAAAGATACACAAACCATCCGTGGATCCATAATCACCCCAGGCTCCTGACCAAGGCTTTGACCAGGGTCCTTCACAGGGTCCAGAGAGGCCTGTGCAGCTGGGGGAGGACTGCACCCCTGAGTGTGAGGTGGGGAGCATGGTTAGAGGACTTTACAGTGTGGTAAAAAGAGGATTAGGGAGAATTTCCTCAGCCTGAACAAAGTTATGATAAGATGACCAACTTATCCACAGCTACATGGGACCAAGGAAGTTCTCAGTACATATAAATGTTAGTTTAAAAACAGGAAAAGTCCTGAACAAACAGGGAAAATTGGTCTCCTTAGGGAGAAACTAGTCAGCAGTGGAGAGAGGTTGGCCACAGTCCTGAGACTTGGAAGCGACTCACAATAAAAGACACCCCATGTAGCCATAGCTACCTATTGGCTACCCCAGTCACACAGTGCAGCAGGTGCTGTAACTGAATCAGGAAGGTGGGATACAGAAATGACTTGAGAACAAGGGGCAATAATTGATGGGTTTCTGTGTAATACCCTCAGACAAATGCTGGCCTTTCCTTTGGAGGTCCCCTGGGCTAGTCAGTTATCACCTGGCCAGGGCCTCAGTGTCTGAGCTGGGTGAGTGAACAGTGCTGGGAGACACCCTCTGCCAGGACAGCTGGTCTCCCCTACCCCTATGAGAATCTGCTGCCCATGGGAACCTCCATCTTCACTTTGTGTTTGACCCATTTTTGTTTGACACTGGATACAGCTCTCTGGATGATCCTCATTCATTATTTTCACAGTCTTCATTCACTCACTGAACAGACAAACATTGTGCATCCACTCTGTGCCAGGCACTTTAGTGAGGCAATGAGAATAAAACTTTCCCTCACATCTAAGAAGGCATATGTACAAGAAATAACTCAGTCACATAGTGAATTGTCACTTTGGTACATGCTAGACATGAGGAAGGGTCTACAGAGAGTGACCAAGACAGGAGACTGATACACACTGGGAGAAAGACTTCCCGGAAACCATGACAGTTAAGCTGGAATCTGGAAGATAAGAAGAAATTAGCTACTCAAAGGGGAGGAGGGTCTTCCAGGAAGGAAGACCAGCTTGTGTCAAGGTACGAAAGAGCCTGGTGTATTCAAGTACTGCATTCAAGGATGTTAAGGAAGGTGCTGTGATCAGAGCAAAGGAAAAGTCAGGACAAGAGATGCAGAGTTGTTCAGGAAACAGACAGTAGGGGAGGGGGCAATTCTGGGGAGATTCAGAGTAACCTTGACACCTGCTTTGTCCTGATGTCTCAGCATCTCCATGAAAAGAAAGGTCATTGCTTGTTCTTGTGGATGTCATGCCATTGTGGACACTGGGACATCACTGATCGTTGGCCCAACAATGCTGGTCAATAACATCCAGAAGCTCATTGGGGCCACTCCATGGGGTCCCAAGGTGAAGAGTTATGCCAAAGGGTCACTCCCAGTCTCCACACACAAGGATCTCCAGGGCCAACCTCTCTCCCCCTCTCTCTAACAGCACTATGTTTCATGTTTTGTGGTCAATACCCTGCCCTCTCTTCACCATCAACAGCATCAAGTACCCAGGGCCAGCTCAAGCCTACATCCTCAAGGTGAGGGGACAACCCTGAGGGCTGGTTCTCAAATTGGAACTTGCAGGAACCCTTGGGCTGCTGCTGGGGGAGGGCGCCCTCTCCAGGCCATCTCACACTATTGCAGATGCTGCTGAGCCCCTGAGCCCCTGTGGCTGGGCCAGAGCCTCCCACAACACCAACCACTTGAGAGTAAAGGCCCATCTGGGACACTGATCATCCTGAAATAAATGTGGAGACCCCACACCATGCTGGCATGGTGGGAGTCATAAGGGGAAGGGAACACTAAGGTCCTCAGTCCCCAAAGAGCTTCAATTCAATCTGAAACCTCAGATGCATGAACATGAAAGTCAGCTCTAGCAGTCCCTGAAATAAGCCATGTGACAAGGAGAATGGCTGGGGACAGTCCCAGTGTGCTGTCCCAGCATAAATTAACAGTCTCCCTTCCCTCCTCAAAGTTGCCCTGGTTTTAATGATAAGTTGCTTGGTTACCCTAGTTCTTGGCTGCAACTTCCCCTTGCTAAGCCCAGTTCCCCCTCTGTGAGTTAGAGTACAAGTCCCCTCGGTGGGAAATTGGATGCTAAGGTGAATAAAGGGTGCACAGTGACTGCTCAGCCCCAGCACAGGATGGTGGCTTCATGTCAGCTCCCAGTGAGAGTTCAGAGCAGGCTGATGGGCTCAAAGAAGGCTTTGAGGAAGAGAGGGAATTTCAGTAATTCTAACCCCGCAGTTCATGGAGCCATAAGGAGACCTGCTTGGGTCTAGGCTAATTTACACTGGATTCCATTGAAATGCCATCCCAAGGTCCTCTCAAATGGGCATTGGGAGCAAATTAGTGGTGATGAGGTCTACGGACCAACCAGTGGGGGTAGAGCACCAGAGTACTTCACCCATCCAAGCCTGGAGTGGCCAAAGAGGGTGACTGTGGGTCCAAGGAATCTCCCCAGAGGGCCTGAGCAAACTTAAAGAATGTGTTGTGAGCACTGCTATGAATGTATTTAAGATGGATAACAAGCAACAAGCTACTGAGTAGTACAGGGAACTCTGCTCAATGTTATGTGGCAGCCTGGATGGGAGGGGTGTCTTTGGAACAAGAATACATGGATATGTATGACTGAGTCCCTTTACTGTCCACCTGAAACTCAAAATATTGTTAATTAGCTATACTCCAAAACAAAAGTAAAAGTTAAAAAAAAATATTGTGGGGATGCAGGAGAAGAACCAGCATTTTCTGCAGAGAAAACATGGGCCAGGATTCAGAAGGAAAGAAACCGTGTGAGGAGGACTATGGGACACTCTTGTTCTTTTCTAAACAATTGGATTGAAGTATGGCTGATCTTCAGTGTTGCCTTCACTTCTGTTGCACAGCAAACTGACTCAGTTACACACATACAAAAATATTTTTCTTTTTCTTTTCATTACACTTCTATCAATGAATATTGAATATAGTTCCTTGTGCTATACACTAGGACTTTGTTGTTTATCAGTCCTCTGTGTATTGCTTTGCTTCTGATAATCCCAAATTTCCCATCCTCCCATCCCCAACTCCCCTGCTATATGGCAACCACATATTTTGGCCCTTTTCATTTTTGGATGAACCCTCACATCCCCAGCTGCTGAGAAAATCACCTGATACTTTACCAAAAGAGGGAAATAAAACCAAGAAGTGTCCGGAGTCTGGATATTGAGAGCAGCTGCAGGTAAGGGCTCAGGCTGACTGGTGTGTGTCTCTGACTCCCCCAGGATTCTCGAGGCCACTGTTTTAGCACCTTTCAAGGGGGCACAGAGGAAGATAACAACTCAGAGACCTGGATCCTGGGTCATGTCTTCTTGTGGCTCTATTTCTCTGTTTATGATCCAGGAAATGACAGAATTGGCCTGGCTCCGGCAGTGTAAATGCTTGGACTGGTTCAGGAATCAATCAGGCCTCTCCTAACACACACTCGCTCTCACTACGACACTTCTGCCCTGCGATGCTGGCGAACTGTGTTTGGTGCTCTGCAAACCCTATTCTCAGTAAAGAATGAAAAGTTTCACTCTTAGTGGTGCTAAAACAAATGAGTGCCTCTACTTGGGTCTGGGAGGTGCATCATAATCAGGCAGGATCTAGAACCAAGTCTGAACCACTAGTGAGAGGAGCCCAGCTCCAACTGCTTTCAATAATTGCAAGCTCTAAAGGTGCCCATGAAAAGCAGAGGGAGATGCAGTCAGTGTCTATGGGCTCTTTGAATGGATCAGGCTCTGTGCTTGTGAGATTAGAGTGGCCAGGGAAGGCCTGCCTGAGGGAGACACATTTGAGATGATGCTAAATGCTGAGAAGAAGCCAGCAATGCAAAAAGCTGGGAGAAAAACATTCTAGATGCGAGAAATAGTCACTGTAAAGGCCCAAGGTAATCAAGTTTAATGAATAACTACTTTTCCACTTCCAATATTGCTTTAATGCTTGGAATTTGGGCACAAGTCACCAACAGGACCTCGTTACATACTTCACTTGTAAGTTACCAGCAATGAACCATCTCATGCTCCCCAGAAGGGAGACCCTGGTGCTGTCAGAGTGCTGAGTCAGCCCTGGGATTTACACAAGCTGGTTATCACCAGGGGCATCCGTTCCCAGGGGCATCACCAGTGACTCTGGCTATCTCTGCGTGCTTGTCCTCAGGGGTGGAAACTCCAGGGAACTGATAGAGCCAAGAGACAAACAAAACCTCTTGTCCCATCTTGCCCTCTGTGATCCTCTGGTCGGCTGACTACACTGCTCTCTGGGCAAAATCTTTCTCCTTTTCCTTCTCCGAAGGTGGCTTGTGAATAACATCAGCACCTGACCCTGAAGTCTTGTGGCTGGAACTCAACTCACAACCAGCTGAGACCCAGAGATGTCCAGCCTTGTCCTGAGTGTCTGTCCTTTTTCTCCATCCATTTCCATAAAGCAAAGTCCCCCAAGAACATGACTGGTTCACCCCCTCTCAAGACATTCAAATCTCCAAGATCTTTTTTGAGCATCAAAGAGGGAACAAGTCCCTTGATTATAGGCTTGTCTCAATCCAAACCTCACTCAGCCAGGGGTTCCCTGAGGAAAGAGTAAGACACTGCGTCTAAGTTCTCAGAGGGCTGAACATGGAATGCTGCTTGCTGTGAATGCAGGTCCATGTGACCCGGTGTCCCAAGAGTCTGTGTTGCGTAAATGAGGAGTGGAAGCTCTGGGCCTGCTGAGCTGGGAGTGAGTCAGGCACCATCTGCATGACTGCTTCCTGGGAACACTCCAGCTGGGGCTCCCCCACTGTGCCTGGAACCCAGCAGAACCAGCTCCCCACAGTGCTTTCCTGCTGCTACAAGAAGGCCGGTCTTCTGATAAAATCGCAGCCAGACTTGAAGGACAATGGGAAAGGAATTTCCACTCTGGTGCCTGCAGACCTCTGAGAGCTGCCTAGCAGTGGATGCAATTGAGCTTTTTCTCATCTTTCCCTTCCTGGAGGTCACCTAGCCTGAGAATCAAAGGTCCTGGTTCCCAGGTCTTCACTAACTTACCTGCAGCCTTAGAGTGAGTCATACACCCCAGGATTCAGTTTCCCATCTCTTGGATGAGGGTGACTGGACTTGCTCCAGAACACTTGTTCCAGACTGAAGTTCAATGTCAATCAGTAGATAAGTGGCTCAGAGGTATCTGTTACCAAGGATGCTGAGGCTGCATCTAGTGGGCAGGGGGCCGTGACTGCCTGGTGATATCCATGGATCCTGGACTCAGGACTGGGAGTGGAAGACTATTTACCACACAGCTGCTGTGAGATGGAGGACCTTAGAGGCCTTGCCCCCTGGAACTTACCACCATTTGGGTTCTGTGGGATGAGATCAGATAGCTATAAGTCAGAAGTTACCAACCAGGAAGGTTGTAGTTTCCTCTGCAGAAACCCGACTTGGGCTGATGAATTAGCTCTCTGAAAGGAACTCTGGGCACAAGACCTGCCAGGACGCTTAGATAAATTAGGAAGTATTTTAAATGCTTGGATGAGCTGCCATTTTGCTGCCCAGCTTGGGATGATGCGCATAGTTAGAGTGGAATCGAAGGGCCCCTGGGGGAAGCTATCCCTCTCCCCATGACTCATTAATGGTGAGTATGGCTCTACCCACTTCATGTCCAGAGCAGGAATTCCAGCAAGAAGAACATGACCTCCAGTAAGGTTAACCAGAAGACTTGGGTGGATTTGGCCCTCTGGTTGGCACCATTCTTTTCCCAGTGCTTCTTTCCTCCCTCCTGGATGCTGAGCAATCTGCCCATGTCTTGGTTCCTGGGTTATGAACTCCTCCTCCCTTTCCTTCCAAAAGTCCCCAGAGCCCCACTAGTGGCTCCCTCCATACCCGGACTCTCTCCCTCACCTGCAGATGACACTAAAGAAGAAAAAAACAGGAAGGGGGCTGCCCAGTTCATTCTTTCTAAAAACGTCCCCATTCCTTCCACCTCCAGGCCCTGACCTGGCTCATTAGAGTCTCCAGCTGGATGAGCAAGCAGATTAGCAGGGGGGTGCAGATGGGGGTGTGGGTGGGGTTGTCGGGTGTAGAGGATGGGGATCAGATGACTGAAGAGCTGCATAAAGAGCAGGTGGGTCTCCAACCACTCATTCATTGGGGGGGCCTGCCTGAATCTGCTTTTCTTGGGCCCTGCAAAGTACCACTAAGACAGAGCCTTCAAAATGCACCTTTTGGAAATTTATTACAAAATGATGCCAAACATAATATAAATAAGAAAGAATAGTTTCATGAACCCTGTATTTCATCATTTGGCATCAATAACTACAAAACTAACCTCTGAGTCCCACAGGTTGTCATAGAGCGGAGACTAGAAGTGCAAGTCAAGGTGGTGGACAGTCAGGTTTCTGGTGAAGATACTCTTCTTGACTTACATCAGTTCTCTTCTTTCTATGTTCTTAGGTATGGTAGGGGAGGGGATGGAGGAAGAGGGAGAATAAGAGAGAAAAAGGGGGGAAGTGTTTAATGCCATCATGAGGGCCCCACCATCAAAAACCCATATCAACTTAATTACCTCCCAAAGACCCTACCTCCTAATACCATCACATCTGGACTTAAGGATTCAACATCTGAATTGTGGGCAACAGAATTCAATCTATAGCAGCTATGCAGATCTCTTTTCAAATCAAGACAGACCCTCATTTAATTTCTTTTTTCTTTTGCTATTTATTCATCTCTGCTGAAGTATTTTAAGGAAAAGGTTACCATCTCACAAAATATAGATAACCACAATGTATTTTGTTCCAAATAAAATTAACATCTAATATCCAGCCCATGTTCAAATTTCCCTGATTCTCTAAAAGCAGATGTCTTTTCACAGTTTATTGAAAGAATGTACTCATATGTTTCACTTTTAAGTTATTCTCTTTTAAGACTAAATAACTCTCTCTCTCCCATTGGGCTGATGAATTAGCTCTCTGAAAGGAACTCTGGGCACAAGACCTGCCAGGACGCTTAGATAAATTAGGAAGTATTTTAAATGCTTGGATGAGCTGCCATTTTGCTGCCCAGCATGGGATGATGCGCATAGTTAGAGTGGAATCGAAGGGCCCCTGGGGGAAGCTATCCCTCTCCCCATGACTCATTAATGGTGAGTATGGCTCTACCCACTTCATGTCCAGAGCAGGAATTCCAGCAAGAAGAACATGACCTCCAGTAAGGTTAACCAGAAGACTTGGGTGGATTTGGCCCTCTGCTTGGCACCATTCTTTTCCCAGTGCTTCTTTCCTCCCTCCTGGATGCTGAGCAATCTGCCCACGTCTTGGTTCCTGGGTTATGAACTCCTCCTCCCTTTCCTTCCAAAAGTCCCCAGAGCCCCACTAGTGGCTCCCTCCATACCCGGACTCTCTCCCTCACCTGCAGATGACACTAAAGAAGAAAAAAACAGGAAGGGGGCTGCCCAGTTCATTCTTTCTAAAAACGTCCCCATTCCTTCCACCTCCAGGCCCTGACCTGGCTCATTAGAGTCTCCAGCTGGATGAGCAAGCAGATTAGCAGGGGGGTGCAGATGGGGGTGTGGGTGGGGTTGTCGGGTGTAGAGGATGGGGATCAGATGACTGAAGAGCTGGATAAAGAGAAGGTGGGTCTCCAACCACTCATTCATTGGGGGGGCCTGCCTGAATCTGCTTTTCTTGGGCCCTGCAAAGTACCACTAAGACAGAGCCTTCAAAATGCACCTTTTGGAAATTTATTACAAAATGATGCCAAACATAATATAAATAAGAAAGAATAGTTTCATGAACCCTGTATTTCATCATTTGGCATCAATAACTACAAAACTAACCTCTGAGTCCCACAGGTTGTCATAGAGCGGAGACTAGAAGTGCAAGTCAAGGTGGTGGACAGTCAGGTTTCTGGTGAAGATACTCTTCTTGACTTACATCAGTTCTCTTCTTTCTATGTTCTTAGGTATGGTAGGGGAGGGGATGGAGGAAGAGGGAGAATAAGAGAGAAAAAGGGGGGAAGTGTTTAATGCCATCATGAGGGCCCCACCATCAAAAACCCATATCAACTTAATTACCTCCCAAAGACCCTACCTCCTAATACCATCACATCTGGACTTAAGGATTCAACATCTGAATTGTGGGCAACAGAATTCAATCTATAGCAGCTATGCAGATCTCTTTTCAAATCAAGACAGACCCTCATTTAATTTCTTTTTTCTTTTGCTATTTATTCATCTCTGCTGAAGTATTTTAAGGAAAAGGTTACCATCTCACAAAATATAGATAACCACAATGTATTTTGTTCCAAATAAAATTAACATCTAATATCCAGCCCATGTTCAAATTTCCCTGATTCTCTAAAAGCAGATGTCTTTTCACAGTTTATTGAAAGAATGTACTCATATGTTTCACTTTTAAGTTATTCTCTTT